TTTCCGTAAGTCTGAACACAAATTCCAAGATTTGCAGTCAATTTGAGTTTGTGTATAGTCTTCAGATTAGAGTCTTAAGCACTTCCCAGGGTGGTTTCTGTGAGTGGATTTGGAGTGTATATGGATAAAGTGAGACAATAAGATTAATCAGCTGAAATTTGGGAACCAGGGCCACTTAGATGGACTCTCTCTGCTATGAGTTTTATAGGCTACTTGATGTTCAACAATCACAAGAGTTCCCAAGGGACTAGATTCATCTGTAGGTAACCCAGGACACCTATTATGTCATCAATGGAATCTTTTAAATTCCTTCCTAGATTACAAGACAATTTTCAAAAATTGGTTTATGAAATGGTAGAGCTGAGACTGTTGTGTGGGTATGTAAGGGGGAATTATCAGGAAATGATAATATGTACTGCCCAGCATTGTTAAATCCAGTGACAACACTTTATTTATTTACTGGCTATACGACTTTGGTACCACTGCCAATTTTTCTTTGATTAAAAAAGAGAATGTTAATTATAAAATAATAAAAAATGTGTCTAATTAACAGGAGGAGAAACATATAACTTCTGTCTCAGGACAATGGACCCTTTAAGTCTTTTGTGTTAAGGATCCTGATGGTTTTTATCCAAGAAAATGCAGGGGGTTAGCTGCATTTGGAAGTAAAGCCTGGACAAAGGCACACTGAGACGCATTTTGGGTGGGATAAGAGTAGAATGGGAGAGAGAGTAGGAGTCGTAACATGGGAGTGTTGTGTGATTTTGCCAGTGAAATATCTCTGACTGTGAGAAAGAGCTAAGGGATATTTAAGAGAGGGGCATCATATATATCTTGTACTCTTTCAGCTCTTTCCTCAGTTGCTTGCACATTAGCTTTATACCTAGCATTTATTATACCATTACTTTATATCAGGTACTTACTAAAGGGCTTCATATGTAACAAGAAAGAGAATACTCAGAAAGACCCAACAATGTTGATACTATTATCTCCATTGTATAGATTGGAAAACTGAGGTCCAGAAAAGAGAACTATTTGCCAACTTCACAAATCCAGTCCCTGGTGGGATGGGCATCTGCACCAGTTATCCAGCTCCAAACGGTGCACTTTCAATCCATACAGTAGACTACTTTGCTCCACTAGATTGCACGTATTGGTTATGTAAGTACTTATCTATGGTGACTAAGTGTGAATCAGTTGACTGTGTTCTAATAATCTTCATTTTTCAGAGAGTGTTCTTTCTGTGGAAGGCATCTAATAATTTCCAGCAAGACTTTTACTCTGGGAGCTGCTGGAATGAGTCATAACTGAGTTCATTATGAGTTAGTGCCTCGGGAATGCAGCTGAGACCCAGTGGCAGGTTTTAAGGGATATAAACCATTGTGTGGAAAAAAAAATAGAGAGCAGGGAGGCTATGGAAATTTATCTCCCTGTGCATCTTTCCTGCTGCTTCTCTCCTGAGGGGAATGTCCTCAGTTCGCTTGGAGTGCGGAACACCCGCCGGGAGGGTTGTTACATAATCGTCTCCTGCTTGCCGCTTGCTCTCTCAGGCTTCAACCATCTCAGCCCCCTGGGACGCACAAGATGCATGAGGACAATTTATATCAGATTAAAAACATACATATATGTAAATATCTAAAACATATCCCTTATCCTCAAGAACTATGACCACAGAAAGGGAGATGTTGATTTGCTTACAGAAAAGGGTCTGTCATCTAGTAAAAATTAGGGGGCTGTGTTTTAACCAGGCTGGATCACAACCCACGTCTGTGACTTTAGGGCATAAATCTTTCAGGGTATCCTTAGATAGCAGCCTTTGCAAACGTACGACCTCTAAGTGTGGGCTATTTAGATATTAGCCAAAGTCCGCCAAGAGAAATAATTCTTAAAGAAAATAACTTGTGACATGCTGTCTATTTGCTCCTTGGGTCCAAGTTTTGTTGTGAGCTCCAGTCAGACCATTGGAAGAATTCATTTTGGACAATCTGCCAAATTACATTTATGTATTTTTATTTTAGTGTCTTATCCTCAGAATTTAAGATGTCAAAGCTGGGCTCTAACCCAGCTCTGTCAGTTATTGGCTGTGAGATACTGGGAGAGCTACTCAGCTACTTTAAATCTTTATTTCTTAATTGGGAAAATGTGATAATAAATGCTCACTTCATAGAATTTTTGGTGAGGCTTTAATGACATAGCTCATGTAAAGAAAATATAAGTCCCTAAAGCTTTAAGATTAATTTAGAGCTAAATAAAAGCCATATGGAATTCATTTTGGTGTATTTGCTGTAAAATCTGCTGTAAAATCTGTTGTCAAGGTCATTGTCAATCTTCAATGTCTTCTATAAAGAATCCCATTTAGGTTTTACTACCAGGTGAAAAAGAACTCTGCGTCTCTGAGAAAGTGGCCTTTTTCTACACACCCAGTTACTGTTCTCCAGCCATAAGAATGGGCTAATAGCCCACTGTTGCTTTTTGTCCTGGCCACAGAGAAACTCAGAGTAACATTTGTATTTCACAGCAAGTATATCAGCCTGCCTGGTTGGGCAGCCTACTTCCTTCTCTTTTTTGTGGCTGTGACATTTTTTACATTTCTATTTGACTACCAACATTCTTTAAGTGTCTTATTTTAAGCCATTGTGAACCCTTTTGGACTGAGGAGTGATCTGAATTAAGCGAAACTGTCCCTGTGACTCTCAAGGCCTCTGCTACTTCACCTGAAAAAAATGCTTATTTAGAAAGGCTGATAAAATCAGTAATGTTGTTGAGTGCGTTATGGAAAAAAGACATGGTGCCGAAGTCAGCCACGTGCAGCCATGGAGGACCATTATGATGTCAATTCCTCTCAAATGCTCTTGAGCGCAACCCTCATTTCTGAGCACAGAATTCATTCCCGAATATACTCCGGAAGCTAATTAGCACGTGGAATGATGCATACCAAGGCTTGACTAGATGACTCTAGGAAGATCACTTAAGTTTGGAGTTCCGACAATAGTTTCTGTCCTGCTGAGTCTAGCGGCAAGAGCATACGGCAGGTTAAGGAAGGTGGGCGAGAAGAAACTCCCTGAGACGGCAGAGACGCTTCAGTCCATTTCGGCGTGAGTCCGAACCCCATACATACCTGCCTTCCATCTCCCTTCTCACTCCCTCTTATTTCGGTTTTGTTTCCTCACATCTGTTTCAAGGTTGCAGAGCCTAAAGCGGAGAAGCCTCAGGGTGGGCCATGTCCACAGTGGGTCTCTCCTTATGTCTGTGCTCCCGATAGCTTGGCTCAGATTTAAGCCTCATGGAGAAGAGGGGAGAGTTTCCATTAGGGAACCTAAGATCCTAGTTCAGAAGCTTGCTAACAATGCAGCCTCAGAGTTATCTTTTATAAATTCTCCTCAAAACACATGTTGCTTACTAATTTAAAAACTAATACATGGTCTCTGTGGATATTTAAGTGTGAGCAGAGAACATAAAGAATAAATCCACTAGGATTTACAATTCTATTGTGCAGAAAGAACCATAATTACCCTTTTTCCTTGTCATTATGCCTATTTGTGATTTTGCCACATACGTAATTTTGTTTTGGTGGCTCTTTAAAAAAAAAAGGTGTGTAGTATTATATCATATGGAGTCTCAGCATTTTCCTTTGTCAACTGGGTATGCTAATATCTACCTCTGAACGGGTTTAAGGATTTAATGAAGTATGTGTGCAGAGAAACAGCCGGAAGCTGTCTATGCTGAGTGAATGTTAATTAATTTTGAATTTAATCAGTGTTTGGCCTTAGGATTGCATCATTCCACCTTGTTCCCTTAAATGTGCTATTTCTACTAAAGTCGTGATCTAGGTGAGTGGAAACAAAGCCACACACGGGGAAATACCCTGGGATCTACTTCCTGATTAGACAGAAGGAAGTGGAAAGCATAAGGTCACTGCCAGATTTCCTTCCGACTTAAATACTGCAACTCAACCAAAAAGCAAACCCGTCAAAGAAAGTGGCCTCACAGTCCTTTACCTCGGCAAAAGGAATTACTGATAGGAAATGTGGGAAGGCCACTGTTTGGCACAGAGCCTTACTATGCTTCATACCCAGGGAATCTCACAAAGTTGAAAGCTCCAGATGAAAGCCTGTGTCCGCACACACCTTATCTGTGCCCCAGGGACCTGGTTTCCCAGCTTCTGTGCAATGACAGCAGAGAGGTGAGCAGCTGCTCCCAGATTCAGTCTTGACATTGCTGTGTCTCAAAGTGATTTCGTCAGCTCTAGCCCAATTAGGCTGCAGAGGAACAGGTGGAAAATATAGAACAGTGCAGAAAACAAAACATAATAAAAAAAAGGCCTTTCTTTCCCTGAGGATGGCTTGAAGTTACTGACTGCTAGAGAACAGGGACTGGCAGCCTGCACTGGGTCCCAGTGGATATGAGTAAGGACGTGTCTAGTGCCCAAGAGAGAAGCCTGGGCAGAGTGGACTCTGTTCACTTGGGAAGCACAAGTCAAAGGGCAGAGAAGCAACTGGCTGATGAAATGGTCCGAGGAGTCAGAACAGGAGTCAGAGAGACTATTTATCCACAATCAGCTACCATGACTTCCTTATGTGCTCATTCAAGTCCCCTTCCTTCCTACTCCTCCACCACGCAGGCAGCACTTCACTCTTACAAGTGCCCATGTGGTCTGAGAAGCCCATCTGATCGGCCCATTCAGCCACTCGTCTACGTGCACCGTCCACCCAGCCGCACATTTGCCCTGAGAGCCAAGGACTCAAGCAGCCCCTTTGGAGATTCTAATATAAATCGAGTACATGGTTTACCTTCTAGGACTTCACAGTCTAGTGAGGGAGGCAATGGCTGGAATATTAATAATCACAATGAAAAGGCAACTTGGCAAGTCTGTTAGGGAGGCAGAGACAGGGTGCCCGAGCATGAGCGACGAGGGCTGGTCCGCAGTAATCTGGGATTTCAGGAAGTCCCCTCTCGGTTCGGCAGGGCTCAGGGTCTCTGTCTTCTCTCCCCATCCGCAGCGTCTTCCAGGATGCATCTTCTCCGGGGAAGCATTCCGTGCCCCCTGGCCTTTCAAGACCTGCCCATCTATCTGAAGTCCAAAGGAAAAGGCGGTGCCCCAGGAATCGGAAAGCCCTGCAGGTACATTCTGGAGATGCCCGCGCCGGCAGCAATGGCCTGCAAGTCTTAAACCTTCTCACTCCTCTAATTCTATGACTTTATGATGACCCTGGAATGGTTTCTAAAGGAAGCAGACACAGTTGCCTATAGGACTACAGGGCAAAGGGAAGTAAGGACTTCCTCTCCCTCGGTTCCTCCCTCTCCTGACTTTGCATGGCCTCTAATCCACCTGCAGATGGTACCCGGATAGGATTTACACATCCTGTTGGGCCCAGGCTAAGAGCTGCCCCGCAGAGCTTGTGAATGGACCAAACTTAGCAGGAGGCAGCTGGCGGGGGCCCAGAGAGCAGCAAGTGGGCTGCAGAGCTGCTAACAGAGGGCGATGACTCAGAGCAGGAGGCCCCCTCCTGCCTCGGGCTCTGAAGGCAGAGAGGGAACACAGTAGGTGCGGAGCCTGCCTCTGCAGACGGTGGGGACTGCAGCTGCTGCCACCTTCCGACTCACTCACCTCGAACGGGCAGGGCAGGGCGGAGGGCTCTCTGAACACTAAGAAGGAAAAACCTGATGCCATTTAGATGCATTTGGATTTGAAGAATGTTGGCTGACATCCTGGGGTTTGGACCTGGGCACTGGTGACTCCAGAACTCTGAGTGGAAAAGACCGAGAACACACAAAGTATTGCAAAGTGGTTGAAGGGCAGAATAACTAGCGGGCAGTAATCTGGAAACTACTGAAGTTGTTCCTGTTCACTCAGAAAATGCAACACCTCACACCTGTCTGATGCTTTGTCATTTACAAAACATCTCACATGCATAATGTGATTTGAATTGCAGAACTCCCACGAGGAAAGTAGAATTATTAAGCCTGTTTAGCCCATGAGGACATGGTTGCTCGGAGTCAGCAGTTGATATCCTGTAATCCCAAGTTACTAATGAGACCAGCAATTAAACCTAGATGTCCTGGCTCCTAAACTAGTGTTATTATTTACCGACTAGAAGTTCATTTCTCAGAACTCCCAAGTGCTCTGGCCTTCTGGGCTCTGATTTTTGTTCCAGTCTGCTCCTGACTTCATTCTGATGCTTCGAAAAATTAAAGAGGGGGACTTGCTGAGATCCCAGAAATATTCTTGGGAAAGGAATACAGATCTATACAGTATAATGTGGTAGGCCCTCGATTATCTCCTGGGCTCATCAAGCATTTTGAAACAATGTGTTTACTTCTTATCTGATTAAGTTTGTAGAATAGTGATCTTCAACCTTGCCTATGTATTAAAATTCCCTTGGGAGATTTTAAAATTCCCAGTGCCCAAGTTGTGCCTAGGACCAATTAAAACAGAATCTCTGGAAGTGGCCCAAGCCTCAGTATTTTTTAAGTTTCCCTGTGATCCCATTGTGCAGCCAATGTAATGAAGCCACGTAAGACTTTGAGACTTAGGGAGAGAGATGATCAGTAAACATAGAATATTTTGCTCTAGAAAGTTGTTCAGATGCTACTCTAGCAGTGTGTGTGTGTGTGTGTGTGTGTGTGTGTGTGTGTGTATACACATGCTTGTACAGGTGGCTTCTTCATTTCCACACCATTTTAATTGTTCATAACTGTCATTATGTTCTCTACCCCCATGTTGGGTCGGTACTTCATCTGTTGTGTCTCAACTCTCACCATACAGTTTATATCTACTAGATGCTTTCATTTGATAGTAATACATAATGTAACTCCAAATGTCTTTAGCAATAAGGAGCATTTATTATATAATATTACGTGAGTCTCAGAACAGGGCAGCCTCATGGCTGATCAAGTCAGTGACCCCCTGACATCATCAAGGACCCTGGTTCTTTTTGCCTTTTGATCTGTCCCCCTTTATGTATTGGCTTTGTTCTTAAATTTGAGCCTCACAGTCAAAGTATAGTTGCCACTGTTCCAGGCATTATGGTAATATCTGATCAAACAATAATATTATCTCAGTTCACTTTTTAGAGCATGGGGCTTTTTCCTAGAAATCTCTCGGCAAACTTTTTCAAATTCCTCATTGGCCAGAATTGGATCATATATATATATATACCCCTTAAAGTCAGACTAGCAAGGGAAACTGGGATTTGCCTAATTGGCATTGACTCGGCTAAAGTAATGTCTGAATTAAGAGAAGAGTTATTTCCCCCAAGGAGTGATTCTCTGAATAAAATTGGGGTTCTGTGGGCCAGGAAGATCGAGAGGGAGGTGGTTTGTTAAGAAGCCAGGCACATCTGATGAAAGGCCAGTAGCTGGATGTGACCTTAGAAGTCTAATCTCAGCTCAGCATTTGCCCTCAGTATTTTTGTGTTTTGGTATAAATTATAGTCTCTGTGAGCCTTAGTTTTCTGAATGGCCAAATGGAGACCATAATATCTATGTGACAGGATGACTGTGAACATAAGGTGCACGAGTGTGCCCAGAAATTGCTAGGTGATACCTGAAACGTGCCAGGTACCTCATGTATTTCACACTTCTTTTTCCCTCTCTACCTCCTTCCTAATGCTTTTCTCTTCAGGCTAAATGTAGTTATGACTATTGTCCATTCCAAGTTAAATATCAAGTTAAATACTCTAAGTTACCTATGGGTAGTAAAAAATACTAGTTAGAAATGATTTAGAGAAAAACAGGAGAAAAAGTATATGAGAAGAAAATCACAGAGATATAATAAAGTGTGGCTTAGAGTCTTCTGAAAAAAAACCTTCTCCTCTCAAAAATGTTGTCTTATTTTCCTTAGGAAATTTCACATATCTGAGTCTTGTTTTTAACTTTTTAAAAGCTATGCAGGACTTCTTTGCCTTTCAGATCGTCCTCAGGGTTAATTATATTTTATTTGCCAATTTAAGAAAATGGACCATTACATTTGAGAAACAAATGCTTCCAAAAGAAGTATTTTCTAAGAAATGGTAATTGTAGAATGAAATGGAGCAGAGTTGCTTATATCTTATCCAATCTCTGTGAAGGGGAAGATGCCCACTTATAGACACATGTAGATAGAATACTGAAATGATTCACCTTGTTTTCTGGTGCATACAATTTTCAGTCCCTGAGCAACTGAACTGGGTGTCCCTGGAAATCTGTGCAGCTTGACCCCAAGGTATCGTCATACTGCAATGATTCACTGTCTAAGCTCTTCTTCCGGGAGGTGAGCTCAACGGAGTGACATTCCATAGGCATCTAAAGTCCTAGCTCTGTTAATCTCGTTTGATCATGACCTTAAGGTATTTTCAAAAAATAAAGCCCTAGACTCCAAGAGCTCCTTAAGAGCACATGGTTCATCTGTAAAACAAGACGGGGTGGCAAACATTTGTTATCTGTCCTCCTCAGATTCCTTGTTAGAAGCCCCTCCTCTCTCTCTCTCCTTTCTCCTCATGCTTGTATCCAGTCTCTACTTTCTCCAGAACCCGGCCAAGGAAAAGGATCTCATATTAGTAATTTACACCTTAGTGGAAATGTAAGTTCCTGTCTTGTGAGTCCTCATAGAAATTCTCATTTTATGTTTCAGTTATCACTTTGTTCCTGGAAGGATCTCATGAGATATTTTTTAATTAGAAGGAGCTGAAAGCTTGCGTGTAGCCACCATTTGAAAGCGCAGTCCATTGTTAGCATCTGTTACTCTGCTATTGACCTTAAGAGAAGGTTATTTTAGGATGAAGGCCTGGAATTGAAAAGCTGGAACCATGGAGGGTGGTAGAGTGTTCTCATGTTGGAGGTCACCCTGCAGCAGTGATGAAGCCAAGTGCGGATGTCATAAATGTATTATTCCCAAACAGCAAACCAAACTCAGCCAAAAGGAAGTCAGGATAGTGGGTGTCACATAAGCGGGATCAGAAAAGCCAAATATTAAATGAGTCAAGTACATAGATCATAGATCACAGTCGAGAGGCATATATAGGTGAATTATATTTCAACCCATATGTACCTCTTTTAGGGTCACCCCTCATTCATCTTTTAGTAATTGTGCTTAGCAAACATAATCTGACATCTGGGGTCTTATCTCAATGATTCTTATTTATCATCCAATAGACATTGTCTACATTGCTTTCTTTAACCCAGGCTAGTCCCATGTCTAAGTAGTTGGTAATTTTCTATGGTGCACTGAACCTTCAGTCTAGATGTATTTCTAGGGAAACTAAGAGATAAGAGAGAGATGCTAATTAATTATTGAATACATGTCATGCCTATGCACACAGTTAGAGGCCACTTACAGGATCCAACATAACATTCACATCTACCTTTATCATCTCTATTCTATAAATGAGTGTCAGAAAGATAAGGTGCTGGCAGAGGTGCACAGTGAAGTAGGTCTCTAATAGCAAAGCCCATACTCTTCACTGTTCCATTTCCCCAGCCTCTCTAGTCATCAGAAGAAGATTCCTAGGCACCTCTCCAACATACTGAATCAGAACCTCCAAGAGATGGCCCTGGAACTCTGTATTTTAAATAGTATCCCTGATAATTTCTAGGACCAGCCAAGTTTGTGACCCTTCCTCTAAGGCCTGCTGTGGCCTGGAGAGATTGCTTTCCAGCTGGGGCATATCCTGGGCCCCTGATAATAAGGTGCTTGTCTATTTTGCTAGTTGCATTGAGAGAAAATCTCTTGTCAGCAGGATTCCCCAGACAAGATCTTCAAGTGTGGAAGCACGGAACTGGACACAGGCGACTGAGCTGAGCTCCTCTGACGTTCCGCTGATCTCTGCTCTGTGTCTTCTCCCTTTGCTATGGCCTCATCTCTGATCTTCTGGAGACCTTTGGCACTTGAGCTTGGCATGATCTGCCTTGACCTGTCCCTCCCTTAATTTCCCCAGTTGGTGTCCTGTGTCCTGAGTCCTTTGTTACACTGTGATGCTAAAAAGGGTGCCTGAAGCAAATCACCCCTGACTCCTTTCCTTGGCAAAGAGATGTTTTCTCCTTTCCATTTTCTGGGGTTGATCAGAACTATCAGGATGCTATTACTCCTTCCAACCCTTTCTCTGAATTTCCTCATCAGACAGATAAAAATGGGTAGGTGGGAGAGAATTAGGGGAAGTGTGCCAAACTAAACCAGCTCTTAAGGAGACTGTCCAATGCAACTT